GGAAAAGCATAAAGAAATGCTTAGAGTGCTGGCATTGTGGCATAATGGGCTAAGCTGTACCCACGTGGGAGACCAGGAAGAAGCACCTGGCTCCTGGCTTCAGATTGGCACAGCCCCGGCCATTGCGACCATCTGGGGAGTGAATAAATGGAAGGAAGACCTTTTTCTCTGTCTCTCCCTCTCACTGTCTGTAACTACCTCTCAAGTAAATAAAATCTTAAAAAAAAAAAAATAAAGCATCAGGCTAGCAAATGGTAATCTGATTGCATTCTCACCAACCCTTAGGGAGAGACACTGTTAATAATATCTCCTTGGGGCCAGTGTTGTGGCACAGAGGGTTAATGCCCTGGCCTAAAGTGCCGGCATCCCATATGGGTGCCGGTTCTAGTCCCGGCTGCTCCTCTTCTGATCCAGCTCTCTGCTGTGGCCTGGGAAAGCAGTAGAAGATGGCCCAGGTGTCTGGGCCCTTGCTCCTATATGGGAGACCTGGAAGAAGCTCCTGGCTCCTGGCTTTGGATCGGCTCAGCTCCAGCCGTTGCGGCCATCTGGGGAGTGAACCATCGGATGGAAGACCTCTCTCTCTGTCTTTACATCTCTTTGTAACTCTTTCAAATAAATAAAATAAATCTTAAAAAAAATCTCCTTTACCAGATGAGCTGAAGCCTAGGGAGCTGAACTAAAGCTTTTAGTAGTGTTTTCTTAAATATGAAAAATCTCATTTAATTCTATAGGATAGAAATTTTCACCTTCAATTTAAATATGAAGGAAAGGAGGCTGAACAGGGTCCCAAGTCACGCGGAGACTCAATGCCCAAGGTGGGATTGAACGTGAGTTTCTTCTGATTCCAAAAATCTATGCTTTCCCACCACCATCTTGTCACGTCTGTGAAGCATTGGAATGTAGACACACACACACACACACACACACATGCCTTGAACTTGAACCAGATGGAACTGGGGAAAACCACATACATTCTGACCCAGAGCTCCCACTCCATCATTAACATTATTTTTAACTGAACCCTGAACTGGACAGAAGGGGACAGTGCTCAAATTGAAACTGAACTTGTATATTTTTTCAAGTTGTTGAGCTAGAATATTCAAAAAATCCTTGAGGAGGCAGAGACAATCGGAGGTTGCTGTCCTAACCTTTTCACTCTGTGTTTTGCTTGCCCGGGGTCGCGTGGTCAGGACAGAGCTGAGAGATTCTTAATCTTTATGAGGCAGCTGTGGGCGAACTTTCCAGTGCTCCTACTCCTCCTGTGCCTTTCCCTTCCCTTCTCAGCCAGGCTGGGGACTGGAAGTTGTGTGTGTGGCAGCTGTGCTCCTGCACCCTTTGCCTTCCTCCAGAGCACACAGCCTTGTCCACGCTGGCCTGGAGAAGAGAGGAGGGAGCCGGACCCCCTGAGACAGGTGTTTCCTTCCATCTAAGCACAGAGAGCTCTGGCCCCACCCTGATTGCTTGGGGGTCGCACAAGGAGAAGTTGCAAGCCCCTGGCTGAGAAACTGAAACTTCCCAGCACAGTCAGTGCTCCTCTGCCTTCGCAGCAGCCGGACTGGACTCCAGATCCGGGTCCTTCGTCTCATCCGGTCCAGGCAGGCACAGTCTGTGGCCTCCCCGACAGCAAGAGGCGGGACTCTGAGGAGACGTGGGGGCCTCTGGGGAGACATCCATCTTTCCAGAGCTTTATCATTTTTTCCATAACAGGATTCTCCCTTCAAGGTGGAAAGTCCCAGCTGGTGGCTGAGGACTCTCTCATTGTCTTTGTTCTCCATCCTGCCTCCAGCCCAGGCTGCAGGACACAGGATAAAAATGCTCCTCTGTCTGTCTGTCTGTCTATCTATCTATCTATCTATCTATCTATCTAAAAGGCAGAGTTACAGAGAGAAGGGAGAGACATAGATAGAAAGATCTATCTGTTGGTCCACTCCCCAAATGGCCGCAATGGCTGGAGCTGGGCCCGGCTGAAGCCAGGAGCCAGGAGCTTCTTCTGGGTCTCCCACATGGGTGCAGGGGCCTGAGCTGCTTCCAAGGTGTTATTAGCAGGGAGCTGGATTGAAAGTGGAGCAGCTGGACTCAAGCTGGTGTCCATATGGGATGCTGGTGTTACACGCAGTGGCTTAACCCAATGCGCCACAGCAGCCACCAGCTGCTGCTTCTATACCAGCCTGCTCTGGGTTTGCTGTAACAACCAAGAACTAGTGTGATAGAGAGGAGTCCTTCACGCAGTGAGACTAGAGTTCCCTGGCTTCTGGCACCGCCTTTGCTGACTGAGAGACTTTGGTGGGGGTCCTGAACTACTGTGTGCTACAGTGTCTCTTTTTGGAAACTGTCCTGGTGGTAAGGTCACCAGTTTAGAGGATTAAATGAATTAACATGCAAAAAGCACTCAGAACAATACCTGGTATCTGGTCAAGGTGATGTGGTTGTTGGCTCTTGTTTTCACATGACCTTGGACTCAGGCAATTCAACTCCTCCCTCTGGGCCGCAGTTTCCCCAATCATACCATTAGGAGAGCAGTTCTTCCCTGCTTCTGATCTGAGTGTGAATCCCAAGTACTTTTTCTTGCTGTGTGGTGTTAGACACATTTCTTGGGTTCTCTTAGCCTCAATGTGCTCATCTATTAAGTGGTATCTATTAAGTACAGCTGTGGTGATGATAAAATGAGAAAATGCATACTGAGCACGTAGCATGTGGCACCACACTAACACACAGAGTGAAAACAAAGTTATTTTTTGTTTGTTTTTGTGGATGACAAAGGACTTTTTTTTGGAAAGATTTATTTATTTGAAAGTCAGAATTACGAAGAGAGGGGAAAGACAGAGAGGAGGGAGAGAGAGAGAGGGAGAGAGAGAGAGAGGTCTTCCATCCGCTGGTTCACTCCCCAACTGGCCGCAACGGCTGAAGCTGATCCGAAGCCAGGAGCCTGGAGCTTCTTCTGGATCTCCCACGTGGGTGCAGGGACCCAAGCACTTGGGCCATCTTCCACTGCCTTCCCAGGTCACAGCAGAGAGCTGGATTGGAAGTGGATCAGCCAGGTCTTGAACCGGCACCCATATGGGATGCTGGCACATCAGACCAGGGTGTTAACCCGCTGTGCCATAGCGCAGGCCTCAACAAAGGAGTTCCTAAAAGATAATGAGCTGTGTCCCCAGCAGGTGCATTGTGGTTTTCTCACATGTTTTCCCAGAATTACCTTGTTGACAGATACCTAGAGTCAGAGGCGTTGGGACTGGAAGGGCCACTTATAGGTTGGTTAATTAATCTATTCAAGAAATATTGACTGTTATGTGCCTGTGACCAGCCAGGCATAGGTGCAGGTGCTGAGGCCAGAGCAGTACTGAGGGCCCTGGCCTCAGGGAACTGTCACTGCTGTGGGGGGAGACAGACCACACACAGGTGACTGTATAAGTATATGATACAAATTCACATTCAGCCTCTTTATTTCACAGGTGAGGAGGCTGAGCCCAAAGGGGTAAAGGCTCTTCCTGGGGTCCTGCCGTGTCACAGCCAGGAAGACTTCTAAGCAGTTCTTCGCAGCCTCAGCACTTTTCACCTTTAACAAACTGAGTTCCCTAAAGTCTTAACCCCAAATTCGGTGATTCTGCCTAGACACAGGAACCGTTTTAAGCACCTTGTACATCACTTAATCTTGACATCAACGCTTATTTTATTTATAGATGGGGAAAACTAACGCACAGAGAGGTGGAGGGGAGCAGGGTTTGCAGAGCCCCCCTGGGGCTGCTCCCCTGTGGGCGCAGCTGGCTGAATACTCTCCCCATAGCCTGCTCTGCTTAATTTCTCCCTCTTCCCTCCCCCTCTCCAATCCTAGTCTCAACTTTCTCTCCCACTTTCTGAGTGGCCTGGGGTAAGCCTCTCCGTCTCTGGCCCCCATGGTCCCTATCCGTGAGCTGAGGGGGACTGGGCTGGGTTATGGGCCTTCACTGCGCACCCTGGCCTTTCGGTCCCACCCCGCTTCGTAACTGGTTTTCTAGTCTGGTTCCTCCATTGCAATCTGAGTTCCAGGAAGTAGCAAGAGTCCTCCTCCTCGTCAGCACCTCTCCGGAGCTGGCACTGCGCTGTGCACTTAGTGGGCACTCAGTACTTGTTCACAGACGAAGAAAGAAGGGAATGAAGCGAGTGTCTTCAGTTTTCTGCAGCCGGCTCCTGAACTCGCTCCCTGGCCCCTCTCCCTTTCTCAGCCCCCCCTTCTTCCCTCCCTTTCACCTCCCGGGGCTGACTCCGGCCCTCCATCCGGCCTGCATTTTTCCGGGTTTGATATCATTTTTTCCACTCTCCCGGCTGCTGCCGGCTGCCTCTGCCAACTTTCCACAGCTCCAGCCCCTCCCCCCTGACCGCAGGCCGGAGACAGCTGGGGGAAGACCCTCCTCCTTTTCCCTTCCCAGGGCTGGATCAGGATGGGGGGGTCAGCGCCATGGGTGCCCCACTGGCCAGGCTGGGTGGGAGGGGGTTGCCGCTGGAGGGGATGGCTTGGTGTTTGGGTCTTTCTCATCACTGCATCACCCCGGGGCCACTGGGCTGTGGTGGCCCATGTGTGGGGCTGAGGCGTCTGGGCCAGCAGCTGGTTGGGGGCAGGGGTGTCAGGCATTAGGGACACAATGGTCCAAACCAAATTGTTTGCAGCTTGTTCTCCTCTTAAAGAACTGACACCACTTTCCTTTGGACTGGAAACTCCTGACCTGACCCCTAACACCCAGCCCTGTCCCCAGCCAGGCTGGACGTCTCACCACCTCCTTCCTCCTACACAGCAGAAGGGAGGTTGGAAGAGGCTGGGCCCTGGGTCTGGTCCTCACTGGCTGGGATACCCCAGGGGGCTCACTCCTCCTCTCTGGGCTTCAGGTTACACATTTGGAAAATAGATGAATTAGGCTAAATTGGGGTCCATTCTGGGGACTGATGGATTGCGTTTCATTGAGTTCATGCTCCTCTCCTTAAACTGAGAGTCTGAATGTTTCTGTCATTTTTTTTTTAATAAATATTTCTTTATTTGAAAAGCAGAGTGCCCAAGAGAGGCAAGACAGACAGACAGACACACACACACAAACATACACACAAACACACACACACACAGAGAGAGAGAGAGAGAGAGAGAGAGAGATCTTCTATTACTGGCTCACTCCTCAAATGGCTACAACAGCCAGGTGTGAGAACAGTAGCAAGGAACTCCATCCAGGTCTCCCATGTGGGTGGCAGGGGTCGAAGTACTTGGACCATCATCTGCTGCCTTCCAGGCACATTAGCAGGGAGCTGGATTGGAAGCAGAGCAGCCAGGACTTGAACTGGCGCTCCAGTATGGGATGTGGGAGTCACAACGCCTGGCCTTCTGTGACACTCTTACAGAGCACTGTGGATAAATTGTGCATCGACTGATCCTTCAGGCCTGGACTGGAATCCTGGCAACGTCACTTATAGCAGCTGTGTGATCTTGGCCATGAGCCTTGGCATTGTCCATGCTTGTTTCCCAATTAGAAAGACAGGGTTAATAGTAACACCCTCCTCCCAGGTGTTGTGCCGATTGAGTCACAACAGCTTAGCACACCTTCAGTTTCCAACAAGCAGCAGCTATGATATTGCCAGGATGAGCATCAGGGGTCCTTCCAGATAACATTTTATGAATCTACTGGTATACTCTAAAAAATGAGTTAAGAAGGGGCCACCTCTGTGATGCTAGTATCCCATATGGGTACTGATCTGAGTCCCAGTTGCACCATTTCTGATCTAATGCACCTGGGAAAGCAGCCGAAGATGGCTCAAGTGATTGGGCCCTTGACACTCGCATGGGAGACCCAGATGCAGTTCTTGGCTCCTGGCTTCAGCCTGGCCCAGCCAAGGTCATTGGGGCCATCTGTGGAGTGAATTAGTGGATGGAAGATCTTTCTGTCTCTCTGTAACTCTGCTTTCAAATAAACAAATCTTAAAAAAAAAATAAAAATAAAAAAAGGAGTCAAGAAAGAAAACAGCAGGTCATCACAACCAACTGGTTTCTCAAAGACTCGGGCAGGCATGGTACCCAATGGCTGGGGGAAGGGCCTGAAAACACAATTGATATAAGGACGTTAAGGATCGGCTCTGCCAGCCAGTGTAGACGGCAGGGCAGCCAGTGTAGACGCCACAAGGAGAGGTCGGGTTGTTCAGATAGGACATCCTTCCGGACTGATTTATTGTGAGGGTTTTAGAGGTTGGCCAGAGACCAAGACAAAGATGATTTCTACAAAAAGACCCCCACTACGTATAAAACCCTACTTTGTGCCCAGCTTAGTCCCCATATCTGCCCGTGGCTTCCCGGGGCGGAGGAGGCCCCAAGGCTCTCGCTCTCGGCGATCCCCAGGCCATTAGGACAGTCGGCAGCCACGGCCCACGACGCAGGCTCCTGTCAGGGGTCTTTGCCGGTGGAGCCCGGGATGCACCCCAGTGTCTTGCCACCTTGGGAGGGCGGGCGGCCTCAGAGTACGGCCAGGTTGTGACAGGACTTGGAGCGGGCCTTGAGTGCCCGGCGGCGGGCACTGCGGGCCGTCAGGCGAGCCAGGAAGCGACGTGCGCGCTGGCCGAGGCTGGCGCGGCGTCGGGGCGCGGGCGGCTCGCGGGCCGCGCTGTCCCGGCGCCGCAAGCGCAGTTGGCGCACCACGCCCTCGAAGAGCTCCGCCACGTTGTGCTGCAGAGCGGCTGATGTCTCGATGAACTTGCAGTCGAACACCACGGCGCAGGCGCGGCCCTCTTGGCGGGGGCGGGGTCCGGCGGGCGGAGAAGGGGTGGGAAGAGGTGTGTTGAGTTTCAATTAGAAGCGATTTTTCCTGTGCCCACACTTGGTGGTGGTGTCGGGAAACTCAGAGACAAATCAGACTGGGCCGCGAGGAGTTAGTTTACAGGCTAGTGACTGACGCTGGAAGAGAGGGAGGCTAGGAAGACAGGGAGGCTGGGACGAGGTTGGGACCGGATAGGGACCAGGTTAAACGCCACGTATGGCGTCCAACCCGTGATTGGAGTTACCGAGCAGCTGGTTAAAAGGCAGAATTCTGGCCGATTCGGGATGTTTGGGGTGAGGTCTGGTAACCTGAGTTTTAACAAAATCTGTTGGGGTGTGTGTGTCCCTAAAGGATGTGGTCTTCCTCCATCAACATTGCCAATGGGCTGAGAGGCAGGGGCCTGAGGGCCAGTCCTCAGTGGCTGGAGACTCCATGAACCTGGCTTTCTCTCTATGAGTTCCAGTTTCCAGATTTTACTCCTTGAGTGGGGCCATGTTAAGATCTTCTTGGGCCCTACCTGACAGGTCAGACTTACTAAAATATTCATCATCCCATCATCAATATCATTTATCTACTACTTTAAAAGTCTGGTTTGTAGTTGCTATCTGACATGATATAAAACTTCGTGAACTTTGAATTTATAGTTTCCTGTCATTTTGGAGTCAATAGCGGTCTTTTTTGGTTCTCAAATGCAAGCCCTTGAACAGGCTGCGGGCTCCGGGCCTATCACACCTGGGGGAGGCAGTGTTTGTAATTAAGGAGCCCTAGGGGACGTTTCATGCAGACAAGTGACGGGCCAGCCCTGCTTCTGCACCACGCTGACAGCTGAAGCAGGACCGATTGAGTGGGGAGAAGCACCTGGCGCAGGCTGAAGTGGAGATGCCAGGTCAGGGCAGAGAAGGGAAGCGGGTGTGGGGCTGCCAGGACTTGAGGACCGGTTTGGAGACTGAGAGAGGGCTGGGAAGTAGCTGCGGGGTGGGGGTGGGGCAGGCAGGGTCTGAGGGGAAGGGCATGGAGGGGCGCGGTGACAGTGGGGTGGCGTGGAGGGCTCACCTTCCACCGAGACTTCCCGGCAGCGGGCCAGGTCCGCCTTGTTGCCCACGAGGATGATGGGCACGTGGTCCGCCTGGTGCGTGCGTCGCAGCTGAATGCGAAGCTCAGAGGCACTCTCAAAGCTGCGGCGGTCTGCGATGGAGTACACGATGACGTAGGCACTGCCCGCCTGCAGGCACGACTCCCGCTTCCCGCTGTCGTCCTGCGGGGGAGGGGCCCCAGGATTCTCAGACAGTGCGGAGGCCCTGGGTCAGGAGGGGCCGGACCGCTCTAAGGGGCGAGACATCGACACCTCGGACAGGTGGGGGAATAGATTGCGCCACAGTTCCCTACGTCATCTTGAGAAAACCGCTTCTGGGCCTGAAACATTGGACTAACGACCTTCCCCAGTGCATTCTCTCATTCATTCATTCCTCCTGTGGGCTGGGCACTGGAGACAAAGGACTCATTCGGCCTGCCTTCCTGCTAAGAGGGGCTGGCTCTGCCTGCTCAGCTCTTTTGTCCGTTCTCCGAGGAGGAGATTTTTAGCCTTGCCAGGCAGTTCTTGAGGCCTTCAGCTACCTGGAACTAAGAGAAAAATGCGAGAGAGGGAAGCGAAGACAGGGGGCTGCCTTCAGAGAGAGGCGTTTTTCAGGCCGGTTTTAAAGAGAGGAGGTGAAGGAGCCGCTGAGGGAGGACTTGAGGTTCTGCAGGGGCAGGGAGGGGCAAGGAGCACTTGAAGAAGTGGCGTCTCTTCACGTTGTTTGTTTGCCCGGGTAAAGGAGAGAGCTGGGGGGATTCTGATTTTCCGTTCTGGGTGGGGGTCTTCCGTGAGGGACAGCACTCAAGACTGGACCCTTCGGGTAACGATTGCAAGTGTTTTCACAAGAAGTCCCTGCCCTCCAAACACTCACGGCCTGGAAGGGAGCCTGTGGGGGTGCAGGGCTGAATGCATGCCGAGTACCACTAGGAGAGGCGTTTGCAAAGGGCTGCATGAGCTGGGGGCTCAGAGGGGGAGACCCGAAGAAGTCAGCGTGGCCGAGAGTGGGGCGGGGGCCTGGAATGGAGAGTGGGCTTGAAAGCACAAGAAGGAGAGAAGCGATTCCAGATGAAGAGAACAGAGCTGAGAACTGGAGTGGGAAAGACCGGGTGCAGTGGAAGCATTTGTCCTGAGTGGGGAAGAAGCTAGACAATTTTCTGATAACCAAGTCAGATAGATGACTAAGAAGGCAACAGATCCCGAGTCAACAACACTGTCAACAGCTATCCTGAGGATTCGTCAGGCCGAAAACCTGAGGATGGAGTCACACAGACCTGGATTTCCAAGTTCACTATGGGTGGGCTCCTTCCTCCCTGTGGGTCCGTTTCCCCTTCTGTTGAATGGAGTCCTGAGCCCCACTTTTAGAGGTTCTTATTCATTAATCTGGGGTGAGGTCTGAGAATTTGATTTTTTTTAAATTATTTATTTTCCGCCGGCGCTGTGGCTCAATAGGCTAATCCTCTGCCTGCGGCGCTGGCACCCCGGGTTCTAGTCCCGGTTGGGGTGCCGGATTCTGTCCCGGTTGCCCCTCTTCCAGGCCAGCTCTCTGCTGTGGCCCGGGAGTGCAGTGGAGGATGGCCCAAGTGCTTGGGCCCTGCACCCCATGGGAGACCAGGAGAAGCACCTGGCTCCTGGCTTCAGATAAGCGCATTGCGCTGACTGCAGCGCGTGGGCCGCAGCGGCCATTGGAGGGTGAACCAACGGCAAAAGGAAGACCTTTCTCTCTGTCTGTCTCTCTCTCTCACTGTCCACTCTGCCTTTCAAAAAAAAAAAGTTATTTATTTTCATTTTATTTGAGAGAGAGGAAAGGAGGGAGGGAGAGGGGAAAAGAGAGAGAGAGATTTTCCATTCAGTGGCTCACCCCCAAATGCCTGTAACAACCAGGGCTGGGCTAGGCTGAAGCCAGGAGCCCAGAATTCAACCCACGTCTCCCATGTGGGTGACAGGGACCTAAGTATTTGAGCCATCACCTGCTGCCTCCCACGGAGCCCATTAGCAGGAATCTGGGGTCAAGAGTGGAACTGGGACTTGTACAGAGGCCCTGTGACAGGGATGCTGATGTCCCAAGGAGCGTCTTAAGTGTTGCAGCAAACATCTGCCCCTGAGAATTTGAGTTTTAATACTCTCCAGGCGACCGGCGCCGCGGCTCACTAGGCTAATCCTCCACCTAGCAGCGCCGGCACACCGGGTTCTAGTCCCGGTCGGGGCGCCGGATTCTTTCCCAGTTGCCCCTCTTCCAGGCCAGCTCTCTGCTGTGGCCCGGGAGTACAGTGGAGGATGGCCCAAGTGCTTGGGCCCTGCACCCCATGGGAGACCAGGATAAGTACCTGGCTCCTGCCTTCGGATCAGCGCCGTGTGCCGGCCGCAGCGGCCATTGGAGGGTGAACCAGTGGCAAAACGAAGACCTTTCTCTCTGTCTCTCTCTCTCTCTATCCACTCTGCCTGTCCAAAAAAGAAAAAAAAAAAAAAAAACCTCTCCAGGCGACCCATGGTCATCCAACCTAGGGCACTCATGAATGGGCAAAAGGCTCATTTAGTTCTTCCAGATTCTGCCTGTCTGACATCAGGGTATTATCTAGCCTAGGCATGGAAAAATAGATGCCAGTTCCACTACGGCTGTTACTATGTTGGAACTCTTTGAAAGCTCCCCTCACAGTCACTGACCAAGGAAACTGCTTCCATTTCCCCATTTGCTGGTAGGGACACCAAAGCCAGGAAGGAAGAAAAAACTATTTGAAGGCCACACAGCAAGCTGGACATTGAGTTCCAGTTTCTGCCTTCTAGTTCAGTACTCTTGCTCCCCTGTTTCCTAAGTGGGACGCTCAGTCTGATCACTGGACTCTGTCCCATACTAGGCCCCCCGCCCCTTACTAGTCTGCAAGCTCCATAAGCCTGGATCAGAGTCCGCCTTATTCAGCGCTGTGTCTCCAGGGTCTTGGCCCATTATAGACACCTAGCAAGTATTTTTGAATGAATGAATGAGTGAAACCTCAGTTGGAAGTCCAACAGGTGATGCACCCCCAAGATTGGGGATGGGAAGGGCCGATCATAGTGGGTAAGGGTAGAGGCTCTGTGGTTTGGTAGATCTGGGTTTGAATCCCACTTGCTATCTGAGAGCTCTAGACGCATTGACTTCTCTGAGCTGCAGTTTCCCCATGGGTAGAATGGGAAGCGGAAGATTCACTGTGTTGTTTTTGTTTTGACTGCACGTTGTAATACAGGTGCAGTGCTTAGCACACGGGCTAATACTTAGGAAGAGGACACCTGCCGTTAGGCGAGTCATAAGTACGGCACTCAGGTGGTCCTGCGGTTTCCTTTCATGCTTCTACGAAGCAGTGGACCCAAGGGCTTCTTCGTTTGGCCGGCCTACCCGAGGAGCTATCCAGCCATTCTTGTCTTCCTAGAGTTAGGAGCGGGGTCCACCCTCAGTGAGGTGGGATTGTAGGTGACTTTTAGATTCTCGTCTTTGCTTAGTTCTGTGGAGCCAGAGAAGCCAGGTAGGGCAGTCATGACAGGGATGTGTGCCTGCCTGCTGCTCATTCCTGTGCCGTGAGGGGTAGGGAGGGGCGGCCCTCCGCTTCCCTTTCTCGCTAGCTATCAAGTTAGGAGTAGGAATTATCCTTGAGCTCCTCACCCCTGTCCGGCTTGTTTTTTTCATGCTCCACACTGGGTTCATTTCTGTAAAGTTACAGAAGAACTTAAAAATCAGGAATGCAGGAATGAGTGACCATTTATCAGGTGAGAAAACTGAAGCTCAAAGTGGGAAAGTCAATTGCACAAAGCTAAACAACTAGTAAGAAAAAGGGGGGTTCAGCCTTAGACATTTTGGTGCCAAATTCAGTTACTTCTGCATACTACGATGGGGAGGCCCACAGGGGTGGACCACTTCCTGGGATGGCTGCTGGGAGGGGAATGGAGACAGAGGTCAGGGCCAGGAGGAGCTGTCTTTGGTTGGAAAGGCTGCCCAGGAGCTGTGCATTCTGGGGGGATTTGGAGGGTGGCCCCTGCACCAACTCTGCTCTATGTGCTCCAGGAGGGGACAAGAATCTGGTTTTAGGCTCAGCACCCCTCCCCCCAAATCCGGCTTGCAGTGCCATACCAGTTTCTCGGCCTCCCAGGTATCCATGACCACCAGTGTGGTGTCCTCTCCATCCACTGTGAGGGTCCTCTCATATACATCTTCTGCAACCGAGGGGAGAGCCAGATCTCAGGGAGGAGGGGCAGGCCAGGGGCTGGGCGCGCGGCTCCCTAGCTCCCTAGCTCCTGTTTTTGGTCACATGGCCCCTCCACTTCTCCCTGGGAGTGCTCTCTACACATGTGTGCTGTCTGTCTCCCCTGGTAGATCCAGGAGCTCCACGAGGAACCTCTGTCTCTCCAGCTGCCAGTATAGTGCCTGCCACTTGGTAGTTGCTGAGAAAGTTGGTTTGGTGCTTGGATGAGTGCGGGGTGGTGGGGTTCAAGTTGCTGGGAATTCTCCCAGTCCTGCCTACCCTGTCTCTGGCTTAGCATATGTGTCAAGCAGGTCATGTTTTTCTCTCTGGGCCTGTCTCCTCATCTATAACATGTACAGGTGTACATAATACACCTATCGTAAGGGTTTTCTCAGGGGGTCAAGGCTGGAGAAGGAGCCTGGCCATGTCTCCACCTTCTCTCCTCTTTTAGCCAATCCCCCTTTCACTCACCCTGTGTCCCCCTCAGCCAGTCCTGCTGGGGCCCAGCATCAGTCCTGCTCCCTCCCCTATCGCTGGGTTGCATTTCTTGGGAATAAAGCAAGCCAAGGCCCAGAGCTTGGGGTGCGGGAGTCTCCATTCTGAGAAGGATCTTAGCTTTGCCACAAGTCACAGTGGTCTTGGCTGGGTGTCTATGGGAGCAGGAGGGTCCAAGAGTCAGGAGCCCTTGGGGATGGGAGTTTCTGAGCTGAATGGAAGCCCACCATTTCTTAATACTCAGAGAATTCAAAATGGCTCCCTTTGTGACATGGAAATAAATGATACAATTCTCTCCATGAGAAATCAAATTTTTCATTCTATTCCAGGACTTTCCCTTCCCAAGACCACTGTGTAGGCTGTGCCCTGTATAACTCCGGGGGAGCATGGTTCCCTTCCTAGTCTGTGTGAGTGATGCCCCTTAGAGTGGAAGCATGCATGATTTGTACAGGACATGGCTTGTGTGTGCCCCTGGTGACAGGACCTTCATTCCTTTGACCACATCCCAGCCCAGCCCACAGGGCCCCTACCTCCCAGCTGGTCATGGAGGTCCCGCTCTTGCTTCCCTGCAAAGAGGCTGGCCAGGCTGGTCTTCCCCACACCAGGGTCTCCAAGCAGCACCACACGGTACAGGGCCTCCCAGGAGCCTTCAGAGTCGCTGGATTCTGAGGACCAGCCGTCGGGGGCAGGGGAAGGCTTGCGGGTGGGAGGGTTGAGGGAGGCTGATTGGCCCAGCCGGGGGTGCTGGGGCTGAGTGGAGGGTGCTGTGCACAGACGACTGGGCTGGTGGCCCCTGGAGGACAGGGGCAGTGGGGTGCTGGCTCGCCGTCGCAGGGAGGTCTTGGCTTCCTGCTGCGTGTTTAGTGTCATCCTTGGTGATGTGGGGCACGGCACTTCCCTCCCTTCTTTCCTTCCTTCCTTCCTTCCTTCCTTCCAGAAAAAGGGGGGATGGGCCGTGAGCCAGTTGCTTTGGGCCTCTTCTTCTCTGTATCCTAATGGGCTGCTGAGATGTTCTCCCCAGAGCCACACTTGGTCATACAGGAGGAGGAGACACCTGAGCTCCTTGGGATGGGATCTTTCTGGGTCCAGCCGGAAGGGGTGAGTGTCAGGCTGTGAACACACAGAGACCAGCACACCCACAGGTCATTTCCCAAGCCTTAAGGAGGGCCGTCCTGGATGGCACACAGTGAGAGGCCAGCAGCCAGGTGATATGGAGAGCCTGCCCCCACCCTCCCACCCCCACCCTGTTCAGAACAGGAGCTCCTCCTTAGGGAAGGCATTTGATTGTCTCTCGCTCCCCTCTCCACCACTCTTCACACGGTTCTAGGTTGGTGGTGCAGAGGAAGGTTGAGGGTCCCCTGCGGCGATTTAATTCCGATGCATGAACCCTCGAGGTCTGAGGAGGCAGGACTGGTTGGCCCTAGAAGGGAAGGGGGCTCCGGGGGTTCCCCCAGCGGTAACCTGAGTGCCCCGGTGCCATGGGAACCCATGTCGGGCCCGCCCCTGTGTGAAAAATTCAGGAGCGGCTGGCGCTGTGGCCTCCAGCTGTCATTGGGGGGCGGGAGCCGCGAGCCGGCGGGCCCCGGGATGGGTGTCCTGGACAGGGTCCTAGTAGGAGTCGGGAGTCCCGGAGGGTGACGGGGAGGGGCACCCATGTGCCAGCCCCGGAGTCTGGGTCCCAGCCTTCCCAGCCCCAGGTCCTGGGTATGAGCGAGGCCCCCAGATGCTGGGGTGGGGTGTGGGGAGTGTTCCTTGTCTGAGGCTACCCAACCCTCGGAAGACCCTCTGCCCTGGGATGCGGGTGCCAGGTTCCTGTGCCACTGCATCACCCCCCAACCCCCCCACCCCCAGCAGGCCCCTGGCGAACTCCACTCCAATTTGAGCAAGTTGGCTGCGGGCCGCGCGTGGGACTTTACCTCGGCCTGGGGTGGGGTCCGGGGTCCCCGCCGCCTCCGCCGACCAGCGTTCCAGGTTGTACCACCAGCCTGAGCGCGCAGCCAGTCCGCCCCGCCGCCCCGGCCGGGGGAGGAGCCGCGACCCCGCCCCGTCCAGCCCCGCCCCGTGGGGGCCGCCCCAGGGCCCTCGCCCCAGGCCTTGGCCGCTCGACAGAGTTTTCTGAGTGCAGAGCTCGGCTGACCCGCCGCTTCCAGCCCTGCGCCCCGCGTGGCGGACGAGAGAAAAGAAGGATGAGGGCTCTGGGTTCCTGGAACTGGGTCCCCCTCCACGACCCCTCCGAGGACCGCATCAGCCGTGAGGCGCTCCGGCTGCGGCCCTCATGAAACCGAGTTCCAGGTCCTGGGTCCCAGGAGGGTTCAGCAGCACTGGGAGAGGGGCCCAGGAATGTGCATTTCGAGCTAGTGTCCCAAGTGATCCCCGTGCAGCTCGTTATCGTTCGTGGACTTTGAGAAACTCTGCTGTGGTTGGAGGATTAGTTCTGGGGAGTGGCTTGGGGGAAGAGGGAGCCCTGGAATGGAAGGGTTCCACGATCTTACTTTGACGTCGTTTGTTCTTTCCTGCGTTCACCCACTGAGTACTAGCAGGGCTGGACTCAGGTTTCTGCCTTTCATCCTATTGTCCCTTTTAATCGAAGTTTATGCTGTATTTTCTTTATATATAATTCATTTTCATTTTATTTGAAAAACAGAGACATACACCCACTGGCACACACACACACACACACACACACAGAGAGAGAAATCATCCATCTGCTGTTCGCTCCCTAAATGCCTGCAACTTCTGGGGCTGGACCAGGGCCAGGGTCAGGATGAAGCCGGGAGTCCGTCCCTGCCTCCCAAGTGGATGACAGGGACAGAGCCATCACCTGCTACCTCCCAGAGTGTGCATTAACAGCAAGCTGGAATTGGAAGAAGAGCTGTTTTGTGTGGGGCCATCCCAAGTAGCAGCTTAATCCCTGTACCAAACACCTGCTTTGTTGCAGCTCAATTCACAATAGCTAAGATATGGAATCAACCAGATGTCCATCAGCTGAAGACTGGATAAAGAAATTATGGTATATGTACACTATGGAATACCACACAGCAGTTAAAAAAAAAAAAAAAGGAATCCTATCCTTTGCAACAAGGTGGTGCAACTGGAAACCATTACACTTAGTGAAATAAGTCAGTCCCAAAAAGAAAAATACTATATGTTCTTCCCGATCCATGGTAACTAATGGAGTACCCAAAAGATAATCTATAGGAGTGAAATTGATATTTTGAGATTCGATCATTTTTAACAGCCCTTATCTTAACTGTTGAGGAACAGAGGATTTTTTCTTTATACTATTTGTTGAACTCTTTACTTAGTGTAGGGTTAATCTTATGAGTGTAAAGCTAACTGAAAATAGATCTTTGTAAAAAATAAGAATGGGAATAGGCGAGGTGAGAGGTAGAAGGGTGAGAGCATGGGCGGGAGGGAGGGTAGGGTGGAGAGTAAGTATCATTGTGCTCCAAATCTGTATGTAGGAAACACATGAAGTTTGTAACCTTAAATAAAATAAAACAAACAAACAAACAAACAAACAAAAAAAAAACTTCCCAAGCATTTAGGTGGAAGAAAGGGACTCTGGTCTTGGGATAGAAGTTGGCTCTGGTGGAGTGACCACCCATGGGGCCAGGATCCAGGCTCTTTAATCAGTGTGCCTCCCTTTAGGCCTGGAGGGATTGAGATGTGAGTGTGTGGGACCGAGGAGACCGGGCTGCACCTGTGGGTGGGCTCATTGTCATGGCTGAGGGGGTCCAGGTGTCCAGCTTGGAACAGCTTCAACGCTTCCCAGTAGATGGGCTCAACCCCCGCGGGTGCTGGGCACAGGCTGACACTCGATGCCTGGCTTCCTCCTGGGGCTCCCAGCCCTGTGACTCAGTTGCTGTACGACTGTGGGCAAGGCAACTCCCCATTTTGGGTTTCAATTTTTGTACTTAAAAACTGTAATCTGAATGGGCTACACCCATGCTAGACAAACAAACAAAAGCCTCTGGTTGTCTAGGAAAGCCTGAACTTGGCCTTAAAGTCCCATCATGCTCTGGCTCTCATCCTGTGCAGGGACGTGCCAACCTCTCCTCCAACATAGTCCTTGCTCTGCCTGGGCCTCGTCTTGCAGGCGCAGTCTGCTCCTTCAGCCCGGGACACCTTTTCTCCTTCATGACGCACTGGGGTTCCCGTGTAGCAGATAGGATCCCACGCTCTGCACATCCAAGGGCCCCTGAAGCTTGTGGAATGTGGAATTGAAGGATAAGTTTATCTCGGTGCAGAGGCTTTGTGAAACCCATGCATGTTTTTTTCATAATATGCTCTTTCCACGGACTTTTTGGAAACTCCTTGTGTGTTATCTCAGTGTTCCCCAAACTGTGTGTTGGAATTACCTGCAGGTTTGCTGGGACTCACCCCCTCAGACCACTGGATTTGAGGCAGAATTTGCATCTCTTGCAAGTCCCAGGTGCTGTTGCTAGCTGGTCTGGGGATGACACTTTGAGAACCCCTGTATTATTCACTTAATTATCTACTGAAGTAGGGACTGTTAATCTCCCATTTTTCAGAGCAGGCCTAAATACACGCTAAATACCTCTAAAATACCTTTTTGGTATTTTATATACACCAAATATACCTAAATACCTCTTTGGCATTTGGAAGGGAAACCTCCATTCTGTTAGCCTCGCAAGGGGATCATTCCATAGATGATGGGCTGGGACTCAGAGAAGTGAAGTGACCTGTCTAAGGTCTCACAGCAATTAGAGGGAGGTGCTGGGATTGATCAGGGTCTCTCAAAGTCAAGGCTGTCTCGGTGGGGTGGAAGGAGATTGCCAGCTTCTGACCCGCAGGGCTGGCCTCAGAAAATCCTGCCCGCAGCATCAGAGCTCAGCAGCCTCTGGAGGCCTTGGCTGACCAGCTGCTGGCAGGGGCTCCTCCTCCCGCTTCGGTCTGCTGCCCACAGCCCGGCCTTCCTCTGCGGCCAATAAAGGCTGGGCCGTGGCAGGCAAGGCTCAGTACGCCCTGCTGCTCTCTTGTGTTTCCCCAGCGGCCTCCCCAGGAGCCCTGTGGCCATGACACAGCTGCTCCTGCTCATTGTGGTGCTCCTGGTCCTGGGTCACGTGCCACCAGGTAACATCACCTGTGTGTGTGTGTGTGTGTGTGTGTTTAAAGGAGGAACAGGCTTGCGGGTCCCAGAGAACAGAGGAGCCTAGGCTAGCACATAAGTTCTGGCCTCACCAGAACTTGCAGGGCGCCTTAGAGCAAGGTGCTAAATAAGCCGGCACCTCCGTTTTTTTTTTTTTTTTTTTTTTTTTTTAAGATTTATTTATGGGGCCAGCACCGTGGCTCACTTGGTTAATCTGCTGCCTGTGGCGCCAGCATCCTATATAGGCGCCGCTTCTAGTCCCAGTTGCTCCTCTTCCAGTCCAGCTCTCTACTGTGGCCTGGGAGGGCAGTGGAGGATGGCCCAAGTGCTTGGGCCCCTGTACCTGCATGGGAGACAAGGAAGAAGCACCTGACTGCTGGCTTCAGATCGGTGCAGTGCCGGCCATAGCGGCCATTTGGGGAGTGCACCAATGACAGGAAGACCTCTCTCTCTCTCTCTCTCTCTCTCTCTCTTCCCTCCCTCCCTGCCTCCCTCTCTCCCTCCCTCCCTCTCTCTCTCTGTCTATAACTCTGTCAAATAAATAAAAAAAGATTTATTTATTTATTTCTTTGAAAAGCAGAGTTACAGAGAGGCAGAGGCAGAGAGAGAGAGAGAGAGAAAGAGAGAAGTCTTCCATCTGGTGTGTCACTCTCCAAATGGCTGCAATGGCCAGGGGTGAGCTGATCAGGAGCCAGGAGCTTCTTCTGGGTCTTCCACGCAGATGCAGGGGCCCAGGGACTTGGGCCATCTTCTACTGCTTTCCCAGGCCATAGCAGAGAGCTGGATTGGAAGAGGAGCAGTGAAGTCTTGAACTGGTGCCCATGTGGGATGCAGCATTGTAGATAGCAGGTTTATCTGCTATCCACAGTGCTGGCCCCTGCACCTCAGTTTTATAATCTGTGAAATGGGATTCACTCAATTTACTATTTGACAGGTGCTATTATGATTGCTGGGGTTCTAGCAGTGGAGGAAAACAAGGTCTTTGCTTTCATGGAGCTTATATTTTAGTTGGTGGAGATAGAAAATAAGTAAACATAGTATGTCAGGCAGTAAGAAGAATGAAGGGGTTAGAGCTGATGGGATGGTCACGGAAGTCCTAGGAAAAGGTTTTTTTTTTTTTTAATATTTTGTTTATTTATTTGAGAGGCAGAGTTATAGACAGAGGGAGAAAGAAAGAGAGAAAGGTCCTCCATCCGCTGGTTCACTCTCCAAATGGCTGCAATGGTTGGAGCTGGGCCAATCTGAAGCCAGGAGCTTCTTCTGGGTCTCCCACACAGGTGCTGGGGCCCAAGCACTTGGGCCATCTTCCACTGGCTTCCCAGGTCCCAAGCAGAGAGCTGAGTTGGAAGAGGAGCAGCCGGGACACAAACTGGCTCCCATATGGGATGCTGGGACCACAGGCAGAGGCTCAGCCTGCTAACCATAGCACTGACCCCCAAGGATTTTGTTTTTAAAATTTTTTATTTTAAAAATTTGCAATATATGTGAAACTAGAGAGAAAAATATAATGAATAAGGTAAGTTTTTAAATTTTTAAAAATATTTTTATTTATTTATTTGAAAGTCAGAGTTACACAGAGAGAGGAGAGGCAGAGAGAGAGAGAGGTCTTCCATCCAATGGTTCACTCCCCAATTGGCTGCAACAGCTGGAGCTGCGCCAATCCGGAGCCAGGAGCCAAGAGCTTCTTCTGGGTCTCCCACGCAGGTTCAGGGGCCCAAGGACTTGGGCCATCTCCTACTGCTTTCCCAGGCCATAGCAGACAGCTGGATGAAGTGGAGCAAACATTTTTATTATGGAAAAAATTTAATCATGGAAAAATAGAGAATCATGTAATGATGTCAGTTTTCTTATTTATTTGAGAGAGAGAGAGAGAGAGCTCTCATCCACTGGTTTAGTCCCCCAAATGCCTGCAGTAGCCTTGACTGGACTGGGGTGCTGCTCCCCAGGGTGTGCATTAGCAAGAAGGTGGAGTCAGGAGCTGGAGCTGGGAGTTGAACGCAGGTGCTCCAGTGTGGGATGTAGGTATTTTAACTGCTAGGCTAAATGCCCACCCTGTGTTGTGTGAGTTTCTAAAAGAAACTTTGGCAGCCGGCGCCGCGGCTCACTAGGCTAATCCTCCGCCTTGCGGCGCTGGCACACCGAGTTCTAGTCCCGGTTGGGGCGCCGGATTCTGTCCCGGTTGCCCCTCTTCCAGGCCAGCTCTCTGCTGTGGCCTGGGAGTGCAGTGGAGGATGGCCCAAGTGCTTGGGCCCTGCACCCCATGGGAGACCAGGAGAAGCACCTGGCTCCTGGCTTCGGATCAGCTCGGTGCGCCAGCCGCAGTGGCCATTGGGGGGTGAACCAACAGCAAAGGAAGACCTCTCTCTCTCTCTCTCTCTCTCTCTCTCTCTCTCACTGTCCACTCTGCCTGTCAAACAAACAAACAAACAAAAAAACAAGAACTTTGGCTCAGCGATTAAGACACCTCTTGGGATGCCTGCATCACTTCTCAGAGTACCTGCGTTCTGTCCTGGTTCTGCCTCCCATCCAGCTTCCTGCTCATGTGCACCCTGGGAGGCAGTGTTTGAGTCTTTATCACTCACATGGGAGACCTGGATTGAATTCCAGACTCCTAGATTCTAGCTATTGTGATCATTTAGGGAGTGAATCAGCAGATGGAAGATCTCTCTTTCTCTCTGCCTTTCAAATAAATAATAAAAACTAATAAATAAAAATTAAAAAGGAAAATTTCACACAAGTGAAAAAAATAGTATAGGGGCCGGCACTGTGGCATAGCGGGTAAAGCTGCCACCTCAGTGCCACCATCCCATGTGGGTGCAGGTTCAAGTGCCGGATGCTCCACTTCTGATTCAGCTCTCTGCTATGGCCTGGGAAAGCAGTGGATGATGGCCCAAGTCCCTGGGCCCCTGCACCTGCATGGGAGGCCTGGAAGAAGCTCCTGGCTCCTGGCTTCAAATCGGCACAGCTCTGGCTGTTATGGCCATCTGGGGAGTGAACCAGCAGATGGATGACCTTTCTCTCTCTCTCTGCCTCTGCCTCTCTGTAACTCTGCCTTGCAAATAAATAAATCTTTAAAAAAATAGTATAAAGAAATCCTGTGTACCTGTCATCCAACCTCAGAAATTACCAACTTGATTCATTTCTGTCACTCACTTCTCCGCCTCCCTAGTGAATTATTTTGAAGTAAACCCCAGCTATTTTATCATTTTATGTAAGATGGGCTTGAGCAGAGGTTTGAATAAAGTGAGGATACAAGCAGATTGTTCCAGGAAGAAGGAGCAGCAGAGACAAAGGCCCTGAGGCAGCAGTGTGGCTGGAGTAAGGAGTACTGAGGAACACAGTGGGAGACAACAGCAGAGACACGAGGAAGGGTGATCGTCATGTCGGGGAAAATAAAAACCCGGGGTCTGAGGGTGACTGAGGAGCCGAGACAGGACGATGGGTTACAATCATGTCATAGGACAGTCCTCGCTTGGGAGTCTGCTTCCAGGCCCGCCACTTAAAGGCTCAGGGAGCTTGGGCAAGTCCCTTGCTTTCTTTATCAGAAAGTTGACCTAGAATGGGCCCTGGGGACTGCCAGGATCTAAGCTGTGCTTCGGATAACCCCGCCTGCTACTTCCTGAGTACCTGCTCTGTCCCAGGCACTGTGCTGACGCGATCCCATCACTGCCCTCTGAAAAGAGGACGCTGAAGCGCAGGCCACTCAGCCGGGAAGTGACAGAGTGAGGAGCTGGAGCCAGGAGGTCTGAGCTGGGGTCACCGCACACTGCTAACCAATACCCCGCACGTCCTCTTCGGAGTGCGGATTTCATCACAGAGATTTTTGAGGCTGGTGCTGTCTCAGGCTCAGATTCTCTACCTCAGCAAGATGGAAAGATGGGCTGGTTAGCAGGGCTGAATAAAGCCGTGGGTGGTCCGTGGTGTGATGTGAGGAGCACGTGGGGCCTTTTTATCCACGGGGGTGTGGGGAAACCTTCCTTCCCCTCCCCCTGCTTCCACTTAGTGCTCCACCTGCTGCGTTGCTTTCTCTGTTTCTGGGGCTGTGGGTGAGAGAGGTCGCGGCGGCAGACAAGCCTGTGCAAGCAGCCCTCTTCTCTCGCCACCATCCCACCATTTACAAAACTTCTTTATTTTCATTTTGTTTCAAAGGGAGAGGGAGAGAAAGAGAGAGAGAGAGAGAGAGACCGAGTCTGTCTTCTGGTTCACTCCTCTAATGCTTGCAACAGCCAGGGTTGGGTCAGGCTGGAGCCAGGTCTGCCAGGTCTCCCACACAGGTGGCAGGAACCCAAGTACTTGAGCCACCACCTGCTGCCCCCCAGGGTGAGCATCAGCAGGAAGCTGGATCGGAAGCAGAGTAACCGGGACTCAAATCAGACAGCCCAGTATGGGACGTGGTGTCTTTAACCACTGTGCCGCATGCCTGTCCCTGCCCTGATGAGAGCCGTCACGTCACTCACCACAAACTCTACTTAGTGTAGTCACTTGCCTGGTTTTTAACTGAGTTCCTGGCCAGCTGGAAACTCCCTTAGGGTGTGGGCCATAGCCATGCTGTTTGTTATGGTGCTCCCAGCCCTGCCCTGAGCACTCCATGTTTGTTGAATGAATAATTAAGGAGAAGTTCCATCCCATGTTGTGACCGAAGACCCCTGGGTGGCGTACAGGACCTATACCCCCAAAGCTTTACCTTTCCTGTTGCCAGGGGTTGGAAAACTCCTCGCTAAACCTGAATATTAAGTGGGTCTCCAGCAGGGCAGTGCTGGTAAGGTTTCCGGTGTGGACTCTGGAGCCAGATCGCCTGGATTAGAACCCGGGTTCCGCTCCTTCATGGCCTGTCTGAGCTCAGCTTCCTTGCTCGGATAGCAGGGATTGTCATGAGACCGACTGTTGTCCTACGGTGCAGTTCTGGCAAGTGCGGGGAGTGTACCTGGTGTGTGGTTCACCCGGGCAAGCAGCTTCTCTGCAGTGTGTAACCAGTGGCCTCGCCGGTAACCTGTGACCTTCCTCCGCACAGGGAGAAGCGAATTCAAACGGTGCTGGCAGGGCCAAGGGGCCTGCCGAATTTACTGCACCAAGCAAGAGTCCTTCATGCACCTGTGTCCGGATGCCTCCTTGTGCTGTCTCCCCTACACACTGAAGCCTCCACTGCTCCCCAAGGTGACCGATAAGTAGCTGGCTCTGGCGTGGACACCTCGCTCTGCAATAAAACACATGCTGCCAGTGGTCTCTTCTGTCTGCTCGCTCACCTGTGCTCCTCTGCCCCGAGGGGGAGGAGTCAAGGCCCAGAGTATGGGAGGTGGCCAGGGCAGAGTGGGCATTAATGACCTTTGTCAGTGGTTCCCATCCTGGCTGTGTCCAGCTCCGGAAAAATCACTCGACCTCTGCAAGCCTCCTCGGTCTCCTCATGCGTGATGGGGATAATTATAATACCAGGAGATTAAGACTTTATTGAAGGAAGCTAACAGAAAGGGAGTGTCCATAGCAAGATTTCATAATAGAGTTGGTAATAATAACTGTTCGTAATCCTGGAGTCACTGATGAACTCCTTGCGTTCGGAATTCTGCATTCAGCTAGAAGGCACCTCTGTTGGGAGGGAAACTGTTCATCTGTCTTCCTTTATCTCCTATTTTAGCATTTCATGAGTCTGTCCAGGCAGACAGGACCATAAGAATTTCGTGCAAGCGGTTTTCACGTAAGCAGGAAGAAGTGAGGGAGGGCAATCTGCCTCTTCCAGGCCTGAGGAGCGGTGGGGCTCGGGAGGGAGGGAGAGAACGTGAGCAGACAAGGGAGGTGGCTGGACACACGGTTTGATTCCCTTGGACCAGTTGGGGTTGCCTTTGGCCAAAGAAACAGGAAATTCGGTTTGTAGGGGCTCAGTTTTCTCACATACAAAGAAGTGTGGAAGTAGGCAGTAGCCAGGTCAAAGCCAGCATCCCCCAGATTCCCTTGGATCACCATCTGGCTGCCAAAACTTCCGCCCTCATTTCTTTGTTCTAAACAGGGAGAGAGGGAACAGTAGGACTTTACTCCTCTCTTTTGTCAAGAAAGCAAAAATGTTCCCCGCTTAGCAGACTTCTGCTTGTATCTCACGGGCCACAGCTGAATGACTTGGCCATTGCTGAACTAAGAGAGGTTGGGAAAGAAGGGACCCTACTTTCCTGGCCTCAGTAATGGACCTTAGCTTGGGAGAAGGAGGCTTCCCCCTGAGATCTAGCTCAGGAAGGGACAGGAGCATTGGATAAACTGAGGGGGGTGGGACACCAAGTGTGGAGGGACTCGTATCCCCTGCCCTCTGAGACTTTCAGAGCGTTCTTTTGATGGCCTTGACCTCAGCCCAGGTAAGAGGGTGGCCCCTGCATGGTGAAGCTATGAAAGGGTGGTGACAGTCGCAGCACTTCCCAGCCCATGACGTGGTAGGAAAGAGCCTTGGAGGCTACGTGCTGCACCAGGTGCTAGCCCCGTTGTCTGGTATTCCTGGGACCTGGGGCTGTGCCAGAGGCAGCTGGAGTGGAAACAGGGCACCGGGCTTGGGCCACAGCTCTTCACCCACAGGAAGGAGCACAGAATGATTTGAATCTCAAAGGGTGCCTCCTGAAGATCCGGCCTGCGCCCCCACACCCTCAGTTCCTGTGTGGTCTGGACGGTGAACAGAGAGCCTGTAGGCTGTGTCAGGGCCCAGTGTGGCGACACTGAGTGGGTAGGAACACCTGGGAGGGCACGGAGCTACGTGGGCTGACATGTGGCGATGCTTGCCTGGTATCATGTCACCAGGCCTCCGTGAGTCAGAGACAGCGCAGCAGTTCCCAAAGCACAGGCCACGGCTGGGAAGCCTGTGCATGGTCTCCGTGTCAGGCCCAAGTCCGCCAGGCCCTGGCAGGTGCCACCATGTTGGGGAGGAGTGGTGGGAGGAGAGGAGGACTCTGAGAGGCTGAGCCGTTGTATCCAAGACACCAAGCCTCTCTGGATTCAAGAAACCCCAAGAGAATGGTTAAATTGTTGGATTAGCCCAAGTTTTAAATTGGACTGCACTAAATTTAGTTCTGCACTGTGCCCTCTCCCCCTCAGTTGTTTTAGAAAGAGCAAAGGGACCTCGTTTTCTCTGCTTCCGATGTGGGGGGTGGCGTATGACCCTGCTGCTGAGAAGGTGACAATGACTTCCGGGGGTGAGGGGAAGGGAGTCAGACAGACTCAAGGTCATAGCCCAGCTCTGCTGTGTGCAGGCCTCAGGCTGTGCCACCCAGGGCAAGTCACGTCCCAGGATGGATTGTCAGGTCCTGTCGTGACAGCTCCTAGTGGGGTAGCCTGGGGGTCAGGTGAGGTTGTGTGGCGCTTGGTGTGTGCTCATGAAACAAGAGCTGCGATCGTCGCTGTCACTCGTACTGAGCAAAAGGCTCCCCAGTGGGCGCTTTCTCCTTTTCCACATAATTTCACTGTCTTGTAGGAAAGCAGAAAGATTAAAAAAATTTTATTTATTTTTTGAAAGTCAGGGGGCTGGTGCTGTGGTGTAGTAGGCTAAGCCCCCGCCTATCTGATCCAGCTCTCTGCTGGGAAAGCAGCAGAAGAGGGCCAAAGTCACTGGGCCTCTGCACCCACATGGGAGAACTGGATGAAGCTCCTGGCTTCAGATCAGCCCAGCTCCAGCCATTGTGGCCATTTGGGGAGTGAACCAGTAGATGGAAGATCTCTCTCTCTCTCTCTCTCTCTCTAGCTCTACCTCTCAAATAAATAAAATCTTAGAGAAAGAGAGAAAGAGAGATCTTCCATCTGCTGGTTCACTCTGTTGCAATGGCTGGCGCTGGTCCAAGCTAAAGCCAGGAGCCAGGGGCATCTTCTGGGTCTCCTATTTGGGTGCAGGGACCCAAGCACTTGGGCCATCGTCTGCTGCCTTCCCAGGTGCATTATTAGCAAGAAGCTGGATTGGAAGTGGAGCAGCTGGAGTATGAATCAGTGCCAGAATTCCTGTAGATCTTTCCTCTGGTTTTGCTAAATATTAACATTTTATAAACTTAACCTTCTCTCTCTGAGATATGTATATATATTTTTTTCTGACAGTAAATTGCAGTCATGATACCCCTTTATACCTAAACACCTCAATGAGTTTTTCTGAAATATAAGGTATTATTTTTAAAAGATTTATTTATTTATTTGAAAGTCAGAGTTACTGAGAGAGGAGAGGCAGAGAGAGAGAGAGGTCTTCCATATGATGGTTCACTCCCCAGTTGGCTGCAATGGCCAGAGCTGCGCCGATCCGAAGCCAGGAGCCAGGAGATTCTCCGGGTCTCCCACGTGGGCGCAGGGGTCCAAGGACTTGAGCCATCTTCTATTGCTATCCTAGGCCATAGCAGAGAGCTGGATTGGAAGAGGAGCAGCTGGGACTAGAACCGGCGCCCATATGGGATGCTGGTGCTTCAGGCCAGGGAGTTAACCTGCTGCGCCACAGCACAGGCCCCAGGTACTTTCTTATATAACCATACACACTATGATTCTAAAATCAGGACATTAACATTGATGACATTTATTGTCTAATCTTCAGAACTGAATTTATGTTTATCAGCTGTTCCAATGAAGTCCTTCACAGCAACCGAGGGTGCCTGGGTGACATGCTGCACTCCGTGGACGTGTTCCTTTGCTCCCTTTTCTCTGGAGCAGTTCCTCAGTCTTGCATGACACTGACATTTTTTGGTAAAGATTTATTTATTTATTTGTTTGAAAGGCAGTTACTTGGGGGCGGGGGGAGAGAATCTTCCATATACTGATTCACTCCCCAAAAGGCCACAACGGCCAGAGCTGGGCCAGTCTGAAACCAGAAGCCAGGAGCTTCCTCCAGGTCTCTACATGGGTGCAGGGGCCAAAGGACTTGGGCCATCTTCTACTGCTTTCCCAGGAGCATTCGCAGGGAGCTGGATCGGAAGTGGAGCAGTCAAGACTTGTACCAGTGCCAATACGGAATGTGGGTGTTGTAGACGGCAGCTTTACCCACTATACCACAGTGCTGGCCCTGACACCAACATTTTTGAAGACTTGAGGCCAGTTATTTTGTGGCATGTCCCTCGGTTTGAGTTCATCTTATATTTCCTCATGATGGGGTCAGCTTATGCATTTTTGGCAAGGATGCCACAGAACTGATGCCGTGTTTTTCTCAGTGCATCATGTTGGAGGCAGCACTTGGCCTTGTGAGGGCTGAAACCAACTCAGACAGTCTAGACGGTTTCCTGGAACTTAAACTTCACATACCATGGCCATTTCTCACCCAGCATCCAACCAGACCACATCTAAGTCTACATCCAACCCCTTAAGTCATAAGGACCAACCCATTAAGCCCAAGAGACAAGGCATTTCTAAGGTAGAAGGTTCCTTAAAGTGCCTCACTGGGCTTGCAGGCCTAGAATGGGAAGGTGACTTGTCCAAGGCCCTACAACTCCCGAAGGGACAGAACCATGGCTTGGGCTAAAGTCTTTGGATATCAGATCAAGGCTATGTCCAAGGTGGATTGACAGCCACAGGCATTGGTAGGATAAGAGAGTGCGAAGGGGAATCTTGGGGAGGAAGGGAGCTTCCTGGCACTGGAGGTGTGCGAGGTGAGCCAGGTGGGTGGGGGATGCTAGAGAGGGGTGTTGTCTGGACAGGTGCTCGGAGCACTGACACCATCCAAGGGCTCCCTGATGGCAGGGACGTGATGACATACCAGCTCTTCTTTAGTAAGTATCAGTGGCTTTGCATACATCATTTCACTGGGTTCTCCCAGTTGTGTGATGCTACTGTCCTGCCTGTTCTAGAAGTGGCTGGGGTTCTGGCCACACACCTAGCAAGCAGCGGAGGTGGGTGTCTACCCCAGGCCTCTGGCCCCACCGGAGTGTATCTCCGAGATCCCTCTTATTTGTACTTTCAAATTAACATTTTTTACTAGCTGTAAAATTAATGCATGTTCCTTGAAAAAATGTAGAAAACAGTCACAACTAAGAAAGCTATAATCACCAGTATTTTCCCTGTATAGAAATACCCACAAATAGAAAATATGTGAAATGTGCCAAAAAAAAAGTGGAATCAAACTGTAGATGTCTTGTGTCCTGTTTTTTTCTACTTATCATTTACCATTTCCATATGTTCTTAGCTATTCTGAACATATGCCTGACAAAGGATTTGTCCACAATATGCAAAGAACTCCTACAAATCAATAAGAAAAAGACAATATTCAGTATTCCAGTGGACAAACAT